ATCCTGATCTTATCCTACACATTTTATTAGGTATTTTGCATAATACTGCGTTTGAAACAGATAGGTCAGTTGTTTGTTTAGAGTTGTAATTGTAGACACTCTTTTTTTACTCTTAAGTTATTTAGATCAATAGAAAGTCTCTGGAAAATATTTCTATAACTTGAAACCGTCCTACAGTAATCTTGTTTATTTTTATTATTTATAGGTATATTCGTTTACTTAATAATTTGTAGAAATTGTTACTGGATAGTCTTCATTAAAGCAAAAGTCCAGCCAAAATGAGTGAATTGAGAGAGAAAATTTGACAGTTGTGTTACCCAATAAAGATTTTCCAGTATCAGCTGACATTTTATCAGCTGTTTTGTTATAATTTGTAAACAAACAAAACATAGTAAAAATTGGTAGATTCTTCCAGTACGGGAACAAATCAAGTGGATTTAAGGCGCATTTAGACTCATGGTACAATTATAAAAGGTAACAGCAAATCCCAGCTGATTTGATTCCAACGTAATACTAGTGTCAATATGAATTTGACAAATTGTGTTTTTAAAAATCACCCAATAGGAAAATTGGGTGATTTCTTGAAGGAATTACTCGATATTCCCAGCATTGTCATATGTGTTACACATATATATGGCATTGGCTCAATTAAAGGAAAGATGTGGAAGCGATAGAAATATAAATTTGATAGATTTTCATTCATGTTTTTCAATTTTTATTTTGAGGATTCGAAAATATTCCATTTTCAAAATAAAAATAATTTGATGATAATTTGTTTGTTTGTTTACATTTTTCTGTCAAATGAGTTGACACTAGTAGAACTTACAACAACAAATTGCCATGTGGTTGTTGTATCGTTTTTTGTACAACAACACTTGCTGTTACCTTTTATTATTATACCATGATTTAGACTGTACCTTCTAATCGACTCGATTTCTTAATTGAGTTACTGAATCCAGGCTGTTTAGCCCAGTACCAAAAGAATATTATGTTGATATGTCACGTATATACTGTGACAGTTTTTGTCGATATTTTCATAATTCTAGTAGGAATTGCTCTCCATTAGGTGAAAATTGTATAAAGACATATATGATTTGTTCCAGTACTTTTTTAAGGGAACATTTAAAAATCGCTCTCTTAGTACAAAACAAATTGGAAAGTTCGGGAACGCAAATCTAGTAAATATGCCAAAATTAGATGGTAATACTTCAAAATCAAAATAACAGCCAATCAGAAGTTGGCATTCCTGTTTACCATTTTTACTCGGATAAATTTTTCGAGTAAAAAGTTTACAAAGAGAACGCCACTTTGTTTTGTGTTCTCTTAAATTTGGTTCAGAAACGCATTCCTGAACCAACAAAACTAGTAAAAAGTTCAACCAAATTAAAGAGAAAAAACAAAATGGCTTTCTAAAACTTTTTACTCAAGCAATTTGGGCGAGTAAATATGGTAAAGAGGAATGCTAACTTCTGCTTGGCTGTTATGTTGATTTTGAAGCTTTTGAAGATTTCTGCTCCGAACTTCTCGAATTATTTTGTATTCTGAGAGTGATTTTGACATTATTCCCTTTAACTAGCTTTACTATTAATAAGTACTGGAACAGAATTCTGATGCTGCCATTTTTTGTTAGGTAACTATTTTGAATTTAAAGCATTACCATTTTTTTACTTATAGGAGAATTGGCACATTTTATGGTGCAAAGGCAGTGTTGTATTTGAAATTATGTTGATTTAGCAGAGGATCTCGACTTCATATGTTAATTGGGTGATTAAATAATGTTTAGGCCCACTGAGTCTTGTGAATTTACGAAGTCTTTATCTGCGAATTGGTTTTTAATTTACGATAGTTGAAAAATGTGGGTTGTTAAGTTAGTTGTACCAAAAGCTGTGCTAGTTATTAAATCTGCATTGCCATAGAGAGTAGCTTGTTTTGCCCGGGACAAGACTTATTAATAAGGCAATCAAGGGAGACCAGGTGGATATCAGCTGTCAAAACCCATTATTGTAAATCGACTTCCATTATGAAAACGTAAACAAAGTCCAAGTTTTTGACATTAGAATTCAGAAAAAAAAACAGCTGATGTTCGCTTGCTGAGTGACCTTATCAATATATCGTGGTCTGGGATTTTTGAGCAGTATTGATTCTGTATTATTCTGTTGTAGCCTTTAAATTTGGGAAATATTTTCTATTTTCAGAAATTTGCAGAATAGATATCTATATACAAAGTCGATTAATCGATCGCCCTATATGTCCCTACTGCTATATGAGAGCTTTGTTCCCGCAAATTAAAGACCTCGTTTTTAAATAATGGCATAACTTTTTGAGGCAAAACATGAGATCTGGTTCTCCAATATCTAAATATCCTTATCATGATCGATATTTTTATTAAAACATAAAGAATGAAGAAAAAAGCTTTTCTTTATCCCCATATAATTTAATGTTGATTTTTCCTCCTTCTATTGGTGCTTTATGTATTCGGTGAATTCGTAATAGCTTGTTTTATCCGCTTTCACTAGATTTGTGATGTTAATATAGGTATGTGTTTGGGGTATTTTGGTTTTGGTTAGTGTTCTCTAGATGGACTAAAGACAGTGGAGTGGTTGTGTATTTGGGTTTCATTTTTGCCAGTTTTCTCTAAAACATAACTAAACTAAAAAAACTATAACATCAACACAAACTAAATCTAAAACTATAAAAGAAAACCAAAAAAACTAAACAAATAATCGTAAACAAGAAGCAATTTGCAACTTAAAAAACTTACGCGCGTCTGCTTGCCCAGTTTCTTGTTTACCTGGACGCCAACACTAAGCTTTTGGCCCGTGTGCCGGGATGTTTGTTTGATGAGAATGCAAAACATTTCCGAATGCAATTCGGGCATATCCAGGCAATGTTGCAGGGCATTTTGGGCCAGTACAACATGATAATCGATGCCGGGTTGATTTACGGCCACGGACATAAACAATTGAATGCTCTGTAAGGGAAAGGTAGACGAGAGAGAGATTAGCAATCAATTTCCAAGAGTAGGAAATAGTTTAACATACCTTAAATAGTTTAATGGCTTCCTGATGCATACTTTCGGTATGCAGTGTACACATGGGAGCGGTAATTGTGTCTTTGGTGTGTAACAAAATAGGATGGCGCCAAATAACACAGTCTGCAGGGAAAAAGTGTGTCAATATTTAATAAATAATTTTTATTTTGCTAGTGTCCTGGTAACTTACTAGGATCTCCATCGGTTTCCATGAGTTTTTGCACCAATTGTTCATATTGTGTGCCAGCACTGGGACCACCACCCGAAACCACAGTCAAATTGTATAACCAATTATCCCGTTCCGCCTTGTTGGGCAATATCAAATATGTGGGACCCTGATGGGCAGGATATATGGCCACCGTTAAATGGGCCTGACTTTGGGGATCCTCTCTTTCCTCGGAATCTGAATCGGAAACATGTTCCACTTCTTCGACTCGAGCATCACGCATGTTTATTTGACCCAGGGGATTCTATAAAAATTTAGAAATTTTAATATAAAATACATTTGTTGTGGTTATGTTTCGACCTACCGTTTCATTGGGCGCCTTAAAATATAAAAACATCTTTCCCAACAGCACACACCAACATTTCTTGGCATGGCCATTCTTCACTTTGGTTACCCAACCCTGCAGTGTGGGTTTTTGATCTTCTCTACTCAGCAGCAGTTTGGTGGCATTTCTTCTTTGGACATTTTGTAGAACTCGTATCCAATCATCCATTGTGGCATTGGAATCGGCAGTGAGATAATAGACCTTTTTCCCCGTATCAATTTCAAAGGTGGAGGCACCCTCGGCTTTGCTAATGCGACAGGCCTCATCGAGCATTATCTGGCCTTGGGGTTTGCGGTTAATATCATGTTGGCTCTTCCAATAGGTCAGGGTGCCATTTTTCAGAACAAACCAGCGTTTACGCCAGGTCTTTAGCTTGCCACCCAATTTGGCCAAATGACCAGCCTAGGGAAGAGAGAAATTTCAAAAATATTTCCTTGATTGGGGATTTTCGGTTGCACTTACCTTTTCCAAGGACTCCAATTTCTTACTGGGCGAATCTACATAGGACTGGCGCATCAACAGCGATGGCATACTAGCATCCATGGGACACGTGGACTCCGAGACAGCATCGGGCGGCAAAGCATAATCGTCGGATAGGCCTGATTCAAAGGAAATATCTGAAATTACTGTGCCACGCATTTGATGAGGGATACGTAGATGATGATTGTTGGCAGACGTCGAGTTTCTCTGATATTGTGCCGGATTGGTTTGTGATGGTGATTTGCGCATGATTGCATTGGTGTTATTTGGACTCAAGTGGGAATTATGGATATTGTGATTGTTGAGATGTGTATAGGGTAGGGGCATGGTGTTGTGATGGTGATTCTGATTATGATTTTGACTTTGATGATGTTGGTTGTGGGTAATGGTGTTGTGGTGGAGTGTTGTTGTTTGTTTTTTACGCTGTTGGAGTTTGGGACTGGGACTTTGATTGCGAATTTGTTGTTGATGTTGATGATGGGACTCATGTCGTTGATGATCATCTGAATGTTTGTAATGATGAATAATACGATTGACTATGTATATATATACAGTGGAAAATAGTTATGATTTTAGAAAATGGGTTTCATGTTATGAAACCGGGTAGGGAAGGTTTCCATGAAAGAATTTAGGAGGAAGAAAGTAGTAGAGAGTGAGAGGGAAAAAACCATGCATTGAACATTTGATGCCAGTCGCATGAGCAAAGTTCCATGATATGAAACCCAATGCAAAAGGTGTGAAGATAACCAATGCAATAGAGAGAGAGAGAGAGAGGAAGTTTGAAAGAGTTTGAGAGCGAGCGATAGTCATGCAGTTATGCCGCGTTTATGTTCGGGAAATGTAGTTTCGTGTATTTGGTGTTAGAATTTAAAAGTTTGTTTTAGTATTTTGAGTATTTTTTGTATTAAAAGGTATTTTTTAATTTATAATATGTAAAGAAGTTTGGGGGTTTTAAGGGATTAAGGAATAACGGGAATTCCACAACAACAAAATAAACATTTTATAAAAACGTAATGTAATAAAAATAAAAAAGACTTTTCAAATAATTAATATGGTTTTGTGATTATAGTACAAGTAAAAGATTATTCAAACATTCCATCTGGGAAAAAATATTGAAATAAGTGTGGAAGATTTTTGTCTCTAGAGGGAGTTATTAATTATGGGATTCATTTTAAGGTTACAGCTGGATTCAGATATAAACGACATAGCAATGAACTATGAAATCTAATGAGATGGATCGACTAATATAAAGTAAAATTTTCTGCAAAATTTGTTAAATTCTACAGAATGGTCTAGCATGTATACAATTGTATATCAATGTTACGACTAAAAACTTTTGAGCTATTAAGGAAACAAGCTATTGTAATAAGATGATTACTAATTAATATTTTAAAATGCAACCATGTGTAAGAAAAGAATATGACACAATAAATAGGTAGTCCATTTAGCGCAGCTGACGATTCGATTAACTGTCAAAGTGCGTAGTTCTACTAGAATTCGATGTGCAATGTTGCCAACCATGTGAAATATTACTAAAAAACATTATACAGATAGTCGGGACAAAAACTAATTTTTGATTTTGATAATAAGGTGATGTATTATTGTATCATGGAAAAGAACAGAGAAAAAATTATGAAATAAAAGAAGACGCTATTCAGAGATTTAGTTCTGAGACCCCAAATTGTCAAGCTGTACACTGACATCTGTCTGCAGTCACATAATTTTCCGAAGACATTACGCTTTTGTGATAGAAGTCATGTTCAAGAAGAATCTGCATGCCATGAATTATATTTTAATTGGGCGCCATCGTGATATGGTGATTTTCTCTACATTAAAATGTATTCAAATGTATACCAACTGCCCCTGGATGTCGGTTACTGAAATCTGTAGAACATTTGCGATTTTTTCCCTTTAGACATATGAATATTTTGAGCGAGCTTTTTGTACGGGAATACATACGTAGTGGAATTTGAAATGAAAAGGGTTAAAACCCCAGGATATCATCTTCGAGATCGTTCTAATTGGGCGCCATTATTTAACGTTACCTTTCCAATCGAATCAATTTTGAATGAAATTTGTCAGAAATACGAAGACAGATTTTCAATATTTTAAATATTAAATGTCTGTGGTCGACATACCTGCAAAATTAATACCGCTATGCAGGCTAACTTTAACTGGCACAATGTCAACAGTTAAAGTCGGAAAGGTACTCTCTCGGAGTCCTTCAATACCGAACAAGATTTAGACAAGATGAAAGTTTGTCGTGTGAACTTTTTAACATCCTGGAAAAGGCATTAGTGTTGCAAAGGTGAACAGAAATTGCACCAATCAGCTCGTCTAGGCCGATAATATCGAAATAATGGGTCGAACATTGCGAGCGGTAACAGCCACCTCTGAAGTAATTGAGAAGGAGTCTGCAAAAATGAGACTGACAGAAAATGACGAAAAGACAAAGCTGATGGGATCAGCACGCAAGTCGTCCAGTAAACTGTCGAACTTGAAAACTACAATTTTGAGATAGTTAAAGATTTTATTTATATACCTCTGTACCGCTATAAATAAATCTAATGACATCAGTTTCGAAACTCGGAGAAGGATAGATAGATCATATTAAGTCTGAGTGAGCAAAAAAATTCTCCGCAAGATATTCTGGCCGATCTGCAACGACACGTGAATATCGTCTTCGAATGAACCACGAGTTGTACAATCTATACACAGACTTCGACATAGCCAGACATATCGAGCTGCAGCGACTACGGAATCTAGGCCATATTGTGAGAATGGATGAGGATGCCCCAGCTCAAAAAGCATATTAAAGCGAGCCAACTGATGGTCTTTCAGATTGGAAAAGTTGCGCACAAGACCGACGCATCTGGAAATCTTTATTAAGCTCGGCTTATGTAGTGAATTTACCGACTAATGCAAAATCGAATAAAAATTTTATAAAATGTGTAATTTTTGGAAATGTTGGCTTTATGAAAATAAACTGAGTATTAATGACGAAAATCGAAAGTCGATCTTCAAAAGTCGACTTTGGGATTTCCTCGAAGATCAAAAGTCGACTTCGATTTAGACTTGTGGATTAATCAATTAGTCGAAAGTTGATTTACTTATCCATAATGCAAAATCTACTAATTTTTTATATGAATTGTTGTTAACAGATGAAATAAAGATCCGGAATATGGTTTTTGGACAATAAGCCATGTATTAGTAAATAAATCGAAAGTCGATCTTGAAAAGTCGACTTTGCGATTTTCTCAAAGATCAAAAGTCGACTTCGACTTTTAGACTCTTCCATGGCACTATAAATAGGTAGTTCATTTAGCGCAGCTGATGTCTCGATTAACTGTCAAAGTGGGTAATTTCTGCTTGCATTCGATGTGCAATGTTGCCAACCATGCGAAATATTATATGAAAAAATTTGACAGAAGGTCGAGACAAAAACAAAGGTTTTTGTTGTGATACGTCACCTTATTATTGCATCATGGACATTTCAATATAAAAAGTAGATTAATTGCCGATTTACTTCTCCCTATTTGGCAACTAACCAAAGACATAAAAGTATAAAGATAGGACAATTGATACGTAAACAATTTCCAACAGATGGATTTTTCTCTGTTGTTACGATATCATAACAACAGAGAGAACAATATTAAACGTTTTTAATGCTATATCTAAAGCTTATTAAATAAAAAAATATATATTGAGTGCAGATTTCCGATTTTATTTACAATTTATAAACACATTATCGCGTATTGGCGATTTTATTGTTAACATGCCTCTGTTATACCTGATTCCCCCTGGATATTATTTTATAAACTAATTTGTCAAAATGCATTTTGTCGAGTCTTTACGGTTTCTATGTCTTTGAACTAACATCGGCATTCCCTAAGAACAATAATATTATTGTTTTATCCATCCATTCAAATTTTGTCTTACTAGGTTCGTTCGTTTACTTTCCCAGTAATATTTACTCAGTAAGAATTTGCAGAGAGTAAATACGAATTTTTCCTTCTCAAGAGAGAAAACTGCAAAAAGTAAACGAACAACATCCAGTAAAAAGATTGTTTCGACACAGCTGATTAAAACAACAAACAAATTGGCGCAAACTAAAAAACAGCATTTTTATTAGAAAAATGGATAACAAGCGGAAAATTGATGTTGTTTGTTTCCCACAAACATTTAAAAGGGTTGTGTGATATGGGGGTGGACATAACCGATGGTGTTCCAGACATGTTAGGGATGCACACTTTTTTGTTTGGATTTGGAACCTAAAAAATCGTTCGCCAATTACTCTTGTATTACCTTATTTTTAAATACTTGCGTTTTCTTCATCCATTTTGGTATTTAATGATACAAAATCAAAATAAAATTCACAAAACAATCAATTTTCTTGAGAACAATTTTTTGTTTGTTTACAAAACATAACAAAACAGCTGATTAAATATCAGCTGATGGTACAAGAAAATTCTTACTGAGTAAATTTTCCTTGTAAGAATTTGCAAATACTCAGTAACACAACTGTCAAATCTGCTCTCTCAATTCACTCTCTTTTACTGGACTTTTGGGTAAACGAACAACATTTTGTAATAATTTGTACAAATTCGTACAAATTATTGAGTAAACGAACGAACCTACTTAATTTTGTATTAATTATTTCCTTTTGAGTAAATTTGTATTTTAAGTAAAATAATCGATTAATTGAAAGTCGACCTATGCACCCCTAATGTATTTAGCTTGCCGAACTGAAGCTATGTTTACATCGTACATAGGAATTCCACATGTCAAACAGAATACGAATTTGTATATAATGTATTCAGAATTAATAGATTTTTATATTAGCCATTATGATGTTGAAAATTACAAATGAATGGGAGAATCACAAATTGAAGGCATTATTTTATAATAAAAAATATAAAAATGTATATAAAAACATATCGATTAACAAAGAATAAACTATTTATGAAAATAAAATCTCAAAGCATATTTACAGACTACTAAAGTAAAACTCAAGCATAAACTATAGAACAAAGAAAGGGAAATTAAAAAATTTGGGAATTTTTCATTTGGGGGAAACTGGGGGATTGGCACACAAACTTCCTTTGGAATTTTTACGGTTCATTTCGCAAATTTTTCTTTTATCAGTTTTTTTACCATTATCCAAAGACAACATATATGTACAACGGAATTTTCCAAATATGGCGGGGTACATATATTTGTCATAACTATGGAAAACATTTGGGAGTACTACCAACAAATCATTAACTACGCAGGCAAGTTGTATATAAATATAAAATACAAATAATAATACTATATAAATTGGTAAATAAAAAATATACACTTCTTTTGGAATAGGAAAGAATTTTATATCAATTAGTGTTGGGGGTTTTGTAGTATCTACATACCTCGTGCTTTTGTATTTTTAGGACTCTCAGAACCACTACGTTTAGCTGGACTCAACGATGAGGAAGTTTTACAACTTTTCGATGGACTGGAAGCACTACCGGAAGTTGATGTTTCCGTATTGTCGGTACTCGATGAATTATGTGAATTGTGTGTTAGCATAACAGCATGATCTTCCCCATCGCTCGAATCATCCGATGAGTCGCCGGTAAATGGCATGGAACGTATTTGAGAGGCGCGCTGGAATGTGAATAAGAAATCAGATTTATTTTTTATGGAAATCGAAAGGAGGATTATAGAAAATAATGGAAAATAATGAAAGAGAAGAATTGAAAATGGACTTAAACCACTTTCAAAATAAAATACTCAAATACAATTCAACTTCGTCATATAAACTTCCATTTCTGTACAACGCAGTTATTCTTCGCCCCAACTGATATGCTATAAAGAAATTCAAAATTCTCAAAATCAAATTTCAAGCATACCTTTAGGATGACTAATAAAAATCCCTAGTTAAAAATATGTTGAAAATCAATATAAAAATTATCCTTTTAAAGTCTACATTTAAGCTTTCATCTCAACCGAATGTATTAGGTTAACGCAAATGACCCTTAAGTTTCTAAATCATTACACTTTATGGCCACAATAATAAAAACCTTCATCACCCTCAATCATCATAAACTTTCAAAGCAAAAACAAAAAACTTTACAATGACTTTTAAACTTTATATTAACATTTCAAATAAGAATGAAAGAAAAAATGTTGCATACTTATGGGAGCGGCAAAAATGGCCACTTGCCTTTTATAGTTAAGTTTATTAACACAACCTTAAGTATACTTATGACCACCTATCACAGCGGGAAGTTCAGCACAGAAACTTCATCACGTTTTGGCATTTGAATGGGAATTTCAACAATACAAGGAAGAAGCAATGGAATAATTTATATGAAGTATACAAATTTTGAAGTGCCTAGGGAGAGGGTCATCATAAAAACGGGAAGAGAGAGAATAGAAAAAAGTTTTTTTAAGAATGGATGTAAGGGAGGAAATGGAAAGGGACAATTTTCTGGGATCATAGGAAAATTTTATAAAACAATAAAATTAACATTTTTGTGGAAGAAAGGTTCAAATAAATGCTATAAATTCCATAGACATCAAATATTTGTAGTGTGCTTTCAGGCATATCATTCATAAAGTATATTTTCTGGGCAGATGTAGTTCAAGGAATTAAAAAATATAATTTGCAGATGTCGTTTTATTGAAGTGTCAATCAGTTACTTTAAGGAGGTATTTTTTTGTAAAGAAGTCTTGCAGAACGACTTTTACAAATAATTAAAGGGGTTTCAGAACGTCGAAGTCGCTGAGGGTGGATCTTCTATAGATAGAAGTTTTATAAGAGACAAAAATTCTTCTAAATGGTATTATATAATGAAGAGGTCTTCAAAAAGGTTTTGGTAGATAAATTAACAAAATAGACATTTAGACATTTAATATATATATATGTTTGCAGGTAGCGTATGTGTCAATCAGATCCTTCAAGAAATGTTTGCAGGTATCGTATTTTTATAAGTGTCAATCAGACCCTTCAAGAATATATTTTATATACAGAAGTCCTGCAGGACGTCTTTTAAAAGCAATAAAAGTTTTTCAAACAGTCGAAATCTTTAAAAGATCGTCTTCTAAAGATAGAGATCATCTATGAGGCAAAAGTCCTTCTTGATGGGATTCTATAGAGGGGAACTCTACAAACAAGGATTTGCTAGAAAAATTAAAAAATAGACATTTCATGAAATATTTGTAGTGTCTGTTTGGACAGACATGGTTCAATGAATTTCAACTTTCTCCAAAAGAGGGCTGGGTACATAAATAAAGGAAATAAAAAGAACTTATTTCAGAGAATCTGCTATTACCTCTAAGAATAACTTCTTCAATAATGTCCTGTACATAGCGGCTTGAGTTGAGTAGTTCGAGAACGAACTATTTCATTGGAACTATTCCGAGAAAGGAACGATCGAAACTAGTTCCGGCTCTTTAATTGGTATATTTCCTTTTTCTGAATCTAAACTATAAAAGAGAGATTCAAAGGAACTCGGAAATAGTCCCTTTTTAAAAGTACCAATTAAAAAAATGGCGGTATTTTGGGCATTGAAACTCTGAAGTGTGAAATACAAAACACTACGGTTCGAAGATGCGACTGAACCTTTAAAATATAATAAATTTTCAGTGAAGAGGAGCCACATCCGTAGAGAATAAAATTTTCCAAATTGCCGGCCTTTTCTTTAAAAATACGGAAAATCGTTCAAAATCTAGCAACATCTATGGACGCTGATCAAAAATATTTTGGGGATTTGAGGATATATAAATACCAACAAATAATTTTTGGCGTTTCAAATCCTTAAAAAATGAAATTAAAATATTGTTGCCTACTTTCAGGTCCTATTTAAAAAATGGAGAGCATCAAAAATATCAAAGCCTAATTATTGATGTTTCTATAACTTTAAAAAATGTAATGCATACTTTCAGGAGTTTTCTTCAAAATATAATATAATATAATATTAAAAAAATCAAAGCCACTATAAATCACTATAAATTTTGTAATGAATACTTTCAGGAGTTTTCTTCAAAATATTGTTGCCTACTTTCAGATGCTTTCTGCAGAAGCAAAGTTCCAATATAATATATTGAAAAGTTCCCATATAATATTTAAACGTAAAGATGGAGGGTATCAAAAATATCGAAGACTAATTATTGACGTTTCAATCACTTTCAAAATAATGCATACTTTCAGGCTTTACTTCAAAATAGTGTTGTCTACTTTCAGGCAGAAGCAAAGTTTCAATATAATATTTAAAATCAATGCCTAATTACTGACGTTTCAATTAATAAAAAAACTGTAATGTATACTTTCAGGAGTTTTCTTCAAAATGTTGTTGCCTATTTTCAGGTGCTTTCTGCAGAAGCAAAGTTCCAATATAACATATTAAAAATTTCCCCTATAATGTTTAAAAAAAAAGATGGAGAGTAGCAAAATATCGTTTTAAAATTTCTAATTCAGGAGTTTCCATCGAAAACTAAAATCCGCTTCAAAAAACCAACTTACCCCTTTAACTGTTGCATAAACTGGCACCGATATATCACAGAAACCACCACTGGCTGTTTGTTGTTGTCTCGTTGGCATTTGAGGTGTACCGGGAGTTATGACACCACCACCCCCATCATTTAACGAAGCAGGAGTATGACGACCATGATGAACATTATTTAGGGTATTCGAATGACTATTAGCACCGCTGGTCGATTCTTGAATATCTGGCGGCGGTGCCTGAGCTGACTGTGAATGACTACTTGTGGCGCCACCACCACCATTTTCCGAACTACTCGCACCAGCCAAACCATCATTGGCCACCTGATAGATTTTCGCCTCCCACGATGGGAAACGATGTAACGGTGGTGTTGGTGGTCTTGGCACACCACCTATTTCACTGGTTGTTGTTGTGGTACTGGTGCCACCACTGGCCATTAGAGCGGGATTATTTTTCATCCATGCTGGCATTTTTTCACATGATGGTGTATAGATTTCGGCATAATCATGCGCGGTATCTGTATCCGAACTATCGGGACGGCCATTTTTCGCACCGCCACCTGCGGATTGTTTTGATATGCTAGCTAAGGGGGCGAGGGTGAGACCATCAACGGCCGCCACCAGATTACGTTCCAACTCGGTCGGCTCCATGGAGAGATTGCGACGATGCTGGTGATGTGGATATGAGGCGGTTAGGGGGCGATTTATAATCTCTTGGGTATCTAGACTTTCGCTGCGACGACGATTCTCCTTCGAGGCGGCAAACTCCTGGACATCCAGACTCAAACTGTTGCGAACGGGCCCAATGACACTGTGTCGATTCGACTGATTGGCTATGTAGTTTTTCAGCAGTTCCAATTGTTGATTGCACTTTTGATTTTGCTCACGCAATAGTTCATTTTGTTCCTCGAGGTCACGGAGTTTATTGTTGACCCACTCTTTGATTTTGGCCGCCTTGGCTTCGATTTGTCGGGCGTCCTGCAGTCGTAATTGACGTTGCTCCTCTACTTGGATTTCTAGTGAGGTTATGACTTTTTCGGCTTCAGGATGGGCTGGAAGACTTGTGGATTGTTGTTGTTGACTGGCAGTTACTGGTGATGTATTGGCTGGAGTTTGAGGTTGTTGTTGCTGTTGTTGAGCTTGTTGCTGTTGAAGGCCTTGTTGTTGCTGATTGGTTGAATTAGTTGTGGTGTTGGCTGTGGTTGGTGGTTTAGGCCATTCACTCAACCTTTGTTCCATAGCCCGCACCTGCAAGGAAAAAATTAAAAAAAAGAAAAACAATTATTATAAAAAGTGGAAAAAGCTACACAGACACACAGGAAAGAAGTTTTAAAATACAAAAGTTTGTTGGAAAAAAATTCCCAGACATGAACTTGTAATTTCTTAAAATATTCAAACTCTCCACCTACTATCTTTCGTGGCATGCAAAAGTTCTTTGTATTTGGCATTTCCGTTTCCTCGTTTACCATTTCCTTCCATTGCACACGGAAATACATTAACCATTTGTACTTAGAAGGCAGTCTGCCATTGAAAATTAAGTTCTTATGTGATTTTCCACACTTAGCATTTGTAAAGACTTTTGTTGCTTGTTTCCATTGCATACTTTAAGGGGATTGCACAAAAGTAATTAAACAATTCGCGTGTCTGACAAAGAAATGGAGAAAAAAAAACAACGACAACAAAACACATGGGCTATGTGCATTTCGTGATTTTATGTAGCGTGTAATTTTCAACTCATAAAATATGTTTCCTATGGCAAAAAACAGAACTTTCCATCTGTTGGCAGAATTTAACTTAACTCCCTAAGATATGCTAAATGGAACTTGCAAGGTGGTATCTTTGTTTTTATTTCTTCGAGATGATCATGAAACGCCTGATTGTATGCTCCACACATCTCGCATCTTGTCGAGTAATTATTATGTTATCCTTAGACATCCTCCGGAAAGTTTGTTAAGTAAAATGTGGATAAAGATAACAAAATGTTAATGGTTTCTTCTCCAGCATTTTATTCATCTATTCATGGCTGTTTCTCTCATTTGCCAAATAACAAAACGGGAAAATCAACCGGAACAATGAGGTAAAGAAGCAAAGAAACAAACAAAGCTTCATTATTAATCCCCACACGTAATATGAATATCGCAAAGTATACCGCACTTAACGTGCACATTTTGAAATCATCAACACTCACCAAGAGCTGGGGAGCAGTAGCGCAAAGTATTAAGGCGGAAAAGTTTATATTTATGGCTGTTAAGTGCATGCACCATGGAATTCTTTGGAAAATAAGATTATGCACTTTTCCAATTTGTTTTAGAAGAGTTTTAAATAGTTGAATGGATTGTATGGATATTTGTATTTGGAATTTTTTCGATTAACGAATAAATGGAGATTTGAATTTGAATTTTTATATCCTAGAGTATAAAAAGTGAACACAAAAAGGAAAAAATGGAGAACATACACTTTGGTTAATATTGGCGAATACGTTGCGTCAGCAGTTATACGCCACATGGTACTGTTAACCAAATTATCCACAATTTCAGTCGAAAAACCAAATATTTAAAACTTTCAAATTATGTTTATATACCAATTCTATTTCCATACCTTTATTGAAATTTAACGAAAAATCAACGTCCAGTTTTGTAATCTATTTCAATTTCAAATATTTAACTCACGCCAAGAATGGCAATACTACTATTAGAAAACATTCGTTATCTCAGTAAATTTCTATAAATTATTTTATTTGTTTGTTGTATCGTGTTCTACACTCTCCTAGTTTCATACTAAAATAAATTTTATTTAAAAATATTCATTTATTAATAAAATATTTAATCTTTGAAATTAAATTCAAGATTTTAAAGAAAAAAATCTCTGATGTTATCTGGGTTGAATGGTAGATAGAGATGAAAAGAGAAAGAATGTATTTAACCACTTAAAAAGATTAAAATAATTGCAGATAATTTGTTTTGTGAATTGTACGCTTCAAATAATTTGAACTGTGAAAATTGTAAAATTTTGAAAAATTAGTGTTTTTTTATATAAGTTGTGACAATAATTATACGCCACATGGAACATTAAAACAAATAATTAATAATTTCAGATAATAAATAACTCAAGATAATTTTTTGGGCTTTAAATGATTTTCAAAGGTTTGTTTCGGCATTGAAAATGGCCTTTCAGTTTTATTTATTGGCAGAAATGTTAACAGTAAAAGATGTTGTATAAATCGTACAAAGATGAGCCAAAAAAGACGTCGAAAATCTACAGGAATATCCGAAATTTATTTTGGTTACAGTAGCGTATGCGTTGTGACAACAGTTATACGCCACATAAAGTAGCGTATACGTTGTGACAACAGTTATACGCCACATAAAACTATTAAATAAATAATCAATAATTCGAGATATGTTTTGTACATTAATTGTGGACTTCAAATGATTCTCAGAACCAGATTCTCAGGTTTTCGGATCTGATTGTGGCCTTGAATTTACAATGTGGTTTAAAAACTAAGACCTTCAAAATTAAATTTATATACCGATTTGTAGTTATCAAACGGACATCTTATTGTATGTTCAAGGCATAACTGTGTTATAGTATGCACAAGAATTAACTAGTTTTTTTGTTTATATTAAAATATATATAGAATTTAAATAGCTGATCGGATTGCATATTTGAATTTTGATTTGAAATTCCGACTCCTAAAGAAATCGATTTTCTCTATAAAATGATAGTCAGCATGGTAATCATGGGCGTATAAGTTGTGACAACAGTTATACGCCACATGGAACTGTTAAATAGTCAATAAATTTTGGTATTTTTTTTAATGTGGGCTTCAAAAGTTTTTCAGAATGTTTTTTTTTTTTTTTTTGAAATTGTGGGAGTGTTCAGCAATACATTGATAAAGTTTTCCTTTTGATTATCAACTTATTGTTATTAAATTCAACATTTAGCTATGTTCTACTATGCAAAAACCTAAAGGAAAGAATATATACCAGGGGCGTATACGTCTTGACAACAGTTACACGCCACATGGAACTGTTAAATAGTCAATAATTCTAGATATTTTTATACCCTTCACCAGGGTATTATGTCTTTGTGCATATGTTTGTAACAGGCAAAAATAATCGAAATAGACCCATGTTTCCTTTTGAGAATATGCATAGAATCACTTTCTGAGTCGATTTCGTCCGTCCATGTATTTTGCTGCTATACATAGTTTCGTCCCATTTTATGTAAATGAAGCTCCATACTGCCAATATTTATCCGATTGAGACAACATTTTGCACAGAGTACTGAATTAGGTCCCGACTGATGTATGCGAAATTTCTATATCTACAGGATATTGTAGATATTAACATGTCTTGCATGTACCCATAGTGGTGAAGGGTATCATATAGTTTTTAAATTGTGGGCTCCAATTATGGAAGATTTATGCACTATATTGATAAAGTTTTCCTTTTTATTATCAATTTATTGTTATCAAACTGAACATTTAAGTCAAACCTATGTTTAACTATGCAAAAAACAAAATGAAAAATATATTTATGGAATTAATAAAAAACTGATTGGATTACAATAATTTTGGTTTGAAATTCCGATTGATGAATAAAAAATCTCCGATATTAAATGATAATTTTAATTATCAACAATACATGGAATTTATCCTGGTTGACCAGTGGCGTATAAGTTCTGCCAACAGTTATACCCCCGATGGTACGGTTAAATAAATAATTCATAATATAATCGATATTGTTAACGATTTTTATATCGTTTTCAAATTGGCTGGTGGAAAAATATCCATGAAAATTAATACACAATGAAATTTAAATAGTTTTTGAAATTCTGAATGTGACTAATAAAATGAATTAAGTTTCCATGCACATTTAAAAGTGACGAAAAATCCCATGACAATTCCTTACTCTCGGGCAACTTTTGTTTTGTAAAAAGGCATTATTTTTAGTAATTACAAATATTTACAACAATAAAATTGATTGAACACCTAGAATGGTGCCCTTCTAAAAGTGAGGAAAATTCCCATAACATTTCCTTCCTTTCATGCAGGTTTTTTTTTGTAAAAAACTAATATTTTTAGTAATTAAAAATATTTACAACAATTTCAATAAAATTCATTGAGCAACTATAACTATGTTATATTTAAAAATAGATTACTTAATATTATTTTAAAGTTTTGCGTATACGTCGTGACAACACTTATACGCCATATGGGACGGTTAAATAAATAATATTGTCTCCAAATTGTCAGGAAGAAAATTATGCAAGAAAATTAATTAATTAATTAATTAATAAACAACAAATTAACAAGATTCTTAGCATCTTTTAATATAATGAAAATGCCAATAATTCCTTCCTTTCAAGCAACCATTTATTTGTTAAAAAAATCTTTTATTTTTTAAAACTTTCCAACAAAATTCCTTTAGCACCTATACCAATGCTAAAGTATTAAAAATAAATTTATTGATATTAATTAAACGTGGGCGTATACGTCGTGTCGATAGTTATACGCCACATGGTACGGTTAAATAAATAATTCATAATATCATCGATGTTGTAAACGATTTTAATATTAATTCCAAATTGTTTTGAGAAAAATGTAGGCAATGAAATTGGAATAGTTTTCGAATATTTGAATGTGACTAAAAAATAAATAAATCAGTTTATAAGCTCCTATATTATCAACGAAAATACCAATAACTTTCCTTTTATTTTTGTTAAAAAAGATTAAATTAAAAAAAATATATTTTTTAGCAATTAAAACATTTTATTAAATGGTACAATACAATTTTTTAACACCTATAAATATGCTATAAAATTTAAAAAATCATTCCTTAATATAAATTTAAATTCATAATCCACAATAATATTTCACTTGCACAGAAGAAATAAATTTCGCCCCCTTTTTCAAATCAAAATATTTTACATATTTTTTTGGCATTTTTGTTATTATCTCTGTAAAATATTATTCTGAATATATAATAAAATTCCTTTATGCTATTAAAAGATTATGTGGTCGTAAAGTGTGCTGTGACCCTAAAATTAAGTCATGAGTAAAATGATTTTGCCTGTTGAATATGCAATTTCATGATGATATGCCATTAAAATTATGAAAGTAATATGTTAATGTTACGGACTAAAAGTATGCAATGAATTTCTTTCGAAAAGAATTGACGATGTCATGGAATGTGCGATAAGAGGGAATTTTAATTTTATAATATGTGGAGAACTTGAGGAAG